AGATCCTCCTAAATGTTACACAGCCTTTAGACTGTTCATTTAGTGACTGAATAAAAGTGTCTTTGCAAAGTACTTTCCTTTAGAGAGCTGCTAACCTGACAAGACTACATTCAGGGTTTCACTGTACAGAAGAATCTGGGGAAACACCTGAAAGAAATTTCTTGGCGTGATAATTTTAGATAAAAATAAAAATAGAAATTACAAGCAACTCAGATATCAGTAATCAACATCCATTTTTGGTCACACCATGTGTTTTACGCTCACAGACACATGAGAGCTTGCTGGGCAGTGCTCCCTCCTGTCTTAAACAACAAACACCTGAGTGAGACCGTGACCCCACAGTGACCCTACGGTTTGATCTTTGACCCTTGGCTCTGACCTGCTTGTGTAGATTTCCTGCGGGCCTTCTTGATGTCTTCCTCAATCTTGTTGCTGAGTTTGATCTCCAGCTGCTGAGTCTTCAACTCCAGCTCTTTCTGTCTGTCAGCCAGAGCTTTACGAGCCTGCCGGAGATAAGGGACTGAAGTCAGAGACAGGCTCAGATCTCACAGCAGCACGTACAGAAAACGTTTTATCCTGAAGCACGACCCCCCTTCTATTGCACTTTTACATTTCTAAAAGCACTGTCAGGCAGCAAACAAAAATGTGTAATGTTCTGGAAAAAAGCCTCATTGTAATTAAAGTGACAAAGTTTGCAGCTATTATAATGTTACAGTCTGCTTCCATTCATCGCACTGAGAGCAGTCTGCTGCACACTTCAGTATTCATTCATCATCCAGTGTTAAAGCTGCCTTATGACGGCCAACATGGCCAGTATCTTATTTCCTGTCTACTTTTAAATGCTCAATTGTCCATCAGATGACTCTATCAGAGTCCCTCCTATGAGCAAAAGCTGCTCAGACGACAGATGATATGAGACAGATTTGCAGTTGCCTTCAGGCTTCAGCCGACTGCTTTTCATTGTACATATACAAAAAGCAGGAAACATTCCAGGGACGGGAAACAGCCGTCCGCTTATGGAAGAGATGTGGAATTCTAATCGCCAGCGAGATTGTTCCTCAAATTCTGCTGCTGCCAAGTAGAAGAGCAGGGCTGTGTCACATCAGAGCTGCTGTGCTTTGTCTTATATCTGTATGTGTTTGTGTATACCTTCTCCACCGCTGCGTAGCGACCAACTAGCTGCTTCCGTAGGTCGGCGATGTGATGGTCGAACCTCTTCATGTCCTTCTTAAAGTTCTCCCTGAAGGTCAGAAAAGGCTTCTCCACTTCACTCTGGAGCTGCTCAAACCAAAAACAACAAATGATTCAATACTGACCAGCAGAAGATAATTTAGTTTTTTTTTTAAGTTTAATAACTGGAGACCTCCCTCCTGGGGATGTCAGGCCTGCAAGCCAATGTAAAAAACAAAGGTTCTCCTTGACTGGGAACTTTCCTCCCAAGAACTTTATTTAAGAAGGTTTAACAACGTCAAGAGAGTTGTTATGTTCAGGACTTGTCAACTAAAAGCTAGCTAAAATAGTTTTTGTGGTTAGTTAGTTAGCTAGGTGTGAAGAAACTACAAATTCTGCACACTGAAATAGAACAAATGGTTCACTTCAATGGTCTTTTTAAATTTTCCCTGCTCTGAATGAGGGGGTAATGTCACTGTAACTTTGGGGGCACGATATCACCTTATGCAACAAGGTATGCTGTTGAGTTATGTTAGCAATTATGGATCAAGGGTCCAGTAAATGTGTTTATCTATGATTTATCTATCTATTTATGTATAACAAAATTAAAGTTTGTAGTTCCTTCATGCTACACACATAGATTATAATAATATCAAATTCACAGAATAACATACAAAAATAACAAAATAAATATATCTAATAAATGGAAAAAATAATATGATATATACAGTTATTTATATAAATATTATTTTTGACATCACTCATTTGTTTTTTCATCCTGCTCATGTTAAAATGCTAACATTAGCTACTGTAACTTCAGTGACCAAGACAGTATCACCTCATGCAACAAGCCAATGTTCAAGTTCTTTTAATACATCCATTCTTCCCTCTGCAGACTAGACAGTCTACTCTCTTCTCATTTGCTCGTGGGTTGCGTGTCCTCAAAACTGAGGTCTGCAGTTGGCAAATGTGGACCAAACTTTTACATTCTGTAGCAAAAAACACTGTCAGTATGAGCTTGACAGACTCACACTGACGCTGAGATAAAGTAGGCCAGAGCTGTATTTCAACTCCTCAGCCAATCACATTCAGTTGAACGGTGTCATGTGGGGACAGTTTGCAACAGGACAAATATAGAAAAGAATGAAAAGTAATCCACTCAGATCTATTGCATTCTTCTTCTTGGGTGTAGCATACAGCTGAATTTCAATTTGTTGTCACTTAGTAGTGACGTACTGTGTTCACTGCCCAAAAGCATGCCCGACTTTTGATTACTTTCAGATTCCAGATAAGTGAAAAGAACAAATCTCAGGCAGCTTAAAGTGCTAAATGACCATATAAATCCATATGCAGATACAGTAAAGTGGTGAAGAGGTAAAATGCCTTCTTTTCCCGGCAGCAAGTCATGAAACTAATGATACTATTTAAATCTCAGTAACGATAAAGTTATCAATCAAAAAGGGAAATCACTTTAATCCCCTCTCTACGCAACTGATTTAATTATCCAAAAAACATAATTAGCTCCATTCCCTGTAGTTGCTTTCAACATTATGTCATCACCCTCTCACATGGAGCTAGTTTAGACTAAAATGGTTTGATATCCGGAGCCAAACAACAACCAGAACATTAGGTATTAACATTGCTTAGCTTCCTTTTCAGCTTTTTCCAGATTTCTAAAGGTAAATGATTTGCAGTATGAAAACTTACGGCTCCAACAATGTGACATGGTAATATTATTTTTGAAATGAGTAGCTTGTGAGTAGCAGGCCCGTCACTGGTTATTTGATCCCAATAAGCAATGCAGTTGTTCTGCCCCAGCCGTCAGTGATGAATGAGATCTGCAGCTCCCTCCTGCAGTCACGTTGGAAACCATCATTCAAAGTTCATTTCCACTCAAATCCTTCCTTCTCCTTCAAGAATCTGGAACTGTGCCGCACATCTGTGCATCTCTGGAGGATAACATCACTGCCTCCATTTCCTCCACCAGTCCAGCTGTAATCCCGGGCCCTATCTTTCGTCTTTCCTCTCGTAACTCAGACGAGACAAACCTATCTAGCACTTCACAACCCTAAAATTAAGAGCAATTCCCCGGATGACGGTGGTAGTTCTTTGACTGAGATCGAACCTACAGTGTTTCACATTAAGAGTAGGTCACGACTAGACTGAAAACATGGCAGGTGATGAATGTAGAGTCAAAGCCCAAGTGTCATATGTATGTGCTTCAGCCCACAGAGCCATCAGGAAGCCCTTTACTGTATGTAATTGCATTTGCCTCATGAGTTACATGCTGTAGACAGCAGAGCCCACAGTCAATAAGGAATCACATACTGTACAACAGGAGGTTCCTCACTATGTACTGCTAATCAGATCTGTACTCTAAAACCTTTTCAAATATGACACATTGTTACATTTTGTATAGGTACGTTTTTTTTGTAATTTTTTACAATTCTTGAATTGTTTTTATGTTGGAAACACTCTACATATTTAACATCAAGAGAGCTGCTGAGTTCACACCTCTATGTAAATTCTACAGTATATGAAAGATATACTGAAACTGCTTGTTACTGTTATATGGTGGCACTGATCCACCGGATACTGACCTTAATGACTGGAGCTATAGGTCACGATGTAACACAGACTCCACACACATATCTAGATGGTAACCCTAACTCTGACACATGTGCACTTGATTTAGCACAGTAGCAATAATATTCCAAAGCGTCTTGTAGTTTGAAGCACATTTGCATTTATATGAGGAGAAAACCAAGACAAAATTTGTTGTTTTAAAGGCTGACAAATTGTTTGGAGAAAGTCTGACAGATAATAAACATTACTATTTAGGTAGCGAGCTGTTGTAGCCTTTGAACCATTCATGAAGAGTAGTTACAAATTACTTTACTCTGTTGCAGTACCATTACATTATTGTAGCTGTTAACTAAAGTTACAGGTAAAGGAAATCCAGTCCAAATCCAAACAAATACCATGATATAGTGCAACTTTAGTTACATTACAGCAAGTAATGTAACTAAAGTTAGCTAGGTTGTGAGTTAGCAAGCTAGATTGAAACTCATTACTCTCCCGCTACTTTAGCTAACATCACAACAACAGCATATCTTTAATGGTAAGTCATTGAACGTTACCTAACTATTTAGTATTGTGTGGCTTGGTCCAATTCACTTTGTAAGAGCTAGGACTAGCTAGCAGACCATGAGGAGATATTTGCTGAATTTGAAATATTTTATTTGGATCGCATTACCAAGAAACGCTAACCCCAACTTTGAGGTTGGCTATCCAGGTATCTTCATTAGTTGGTACGTGCTACCACTGTCAGTCTGTACTTGGGATTTGCTAGTTCTATCTGGAGACATATCTGAGAGAAAGAATTCAGTGTAACAGGGAAGACTGTCTACTGCCAGCTAGCTGCAGTTGATGGTATCAACTCTCGCGAAATCATTGCAAATCTAGGGTTACCATGTAGACCCGACCTACACACATGCAGTTGTCGTGTATGCAGATTGCTAGTTAGTCACAGCTAATGTCTGTACAGTTGGTACATACGCTGTTTGCATCCGCACATATGCAGGAATATAACTTTAGGTTTGGGCATCAAGCCAGTGACTCATTAAAGGGGTCGGGAGGCGTGATGAATTACCTTTGAGGAGAACTTTAGGTGAACCTCAGCTTCATCTGCCAGGCTCTTCTTCAACTGGGCCCAAGCCTCCCCCAGAGTCCTGAGAACAGATAAGAAAGAGGGTGAGGGAGAGTGTGTGTGTGTGTGTGTGTTTAATATCTTAGACAAGAAAGGACCACACACACTTTTACATGAAGACATATAGGGAGGGCAGAAAGTGTTGGAGAAAGGAGGGGTGGGGGGCAGTGTGAATCCTATCACACACACAGATGGGGTTCAGCAGCAGAGCCAGAGCAAAAGTTCATGGATACACAAGTAACCAGTAAATCTCGAGAGCTGAGCTGAGGTCCACAGCCAGTTCAGCAGATGATTAGGATGTATGGGACATGAGATATGGCCCGGCTTATTCTCTCAGCTTTCCAACACAGCTGGGGGCAATAACACCGTGAAGGCATGTATTGTTTTGTAAGCATTAAAATTAAGTTAGCCAATGCACATTACGTAATAATTACACACCACTTGTCTTTTTTAAATGGGCCACACATTTGTTTTTATTTAAAGAAAGTGAGTGATTCATAATTATCTGTGGCAGAAAATGGAGTGAGGCGGACAGCCTCCTCATATTTCTTCTAGCTGAGGACTGTTAAACAATCATCCAGCAGGCAGCCAGTCACAGCCACAAGGCTGTTGGTCCCGGACTGACGGTCTTTATGGGTAAGCGGGTTACTTCAAAGTGTCGCTCTGAATGGAAGACATGTGTGGAATTCCCTCAGACTGACATCCACAACATTCCTGACACCGTCAGAGTAAAGTCTAGCACCTGCAGCTCTACGGCATCAAAAATGGGTCAAATTCAGAGTCACACACGTACATCAGTGTTCACTGCATGTTCAATTACAGTTTCCTGCTTTGTATCTAAACTGAGTGTGTGTCAACAGTGAGCCAGCTGTTGGAATTGTTTTTTTGACATAGAGTATGTGATAGATATTCTTAACACACACACTTTAAAAACTTTTTCTGTGCATGTTCACACATGTAGTTCCACCTTTTTCTACAGTCTCAGATAACTGATGTACAAGCTGGGAAAGGTTTCTGAGAATATCATAAGCTGAAGATATTTTAGATCCTTTTGTAACTTTATAGTTGTCAATGTGCTTACACAGCACAGTAAGGACAATCAGGTGAGAGACTCATATCAGAGTCATATCAGAATGAAAGCTGATGCGGTGTGAAGTCACATGGTTTTATTTTAAGCAGGAGCCACAGTGGTTTGGTGATAATGAACAGAGTTGTGAATAGAAACAACCACCATGCAGAACAAATAACAGCACCATCTACAGAAACTTAGACATCAAACTGAGTTTCTGTTTATATCCAGTGTTACCCACCAGAACACACTGAACACACTTCCTTCCTGTTTTCTATGCCACTTTTTCTTTCAACTTTGCATTGTTTACATCCATGTTTACTTGCTAGCATTTCATGGTGTTACCCACCACCTTAAGAACATGACCTAGAGGAAAGATAGCCTTTCGTTTATAATATCCCATGATTCCAAGCTGCAAAAGTTGCACCACTCCAAATGCTTTTCACTCTCAGCAAATCACATCTGGCATGTCGCTACACTCTTACAGTCTCCAGTGACAGACAATCACTTGCCAACAAAATACTGTATCTCAGGGAAAATGAGTCTCCTGCCACGTACTCCGACCATTCAACAGAACTAATACAGTGCACGATTGGTAGCAATATAAAGTGGTCACACGCTTCACGGGCACATCGCTACCGAACAAATGGTAAATTCAGGAATAAATAGACGGCTGGTTCTGGGCTGCGGCCGGTCGGACAGTAGGAACTGACCAACAAAACAGCGATTGTCCTGACTGACAACAGAGCTGGCCTGAGGGAGAGAATAATGAAAGTATTGTGTTGCACTTTTCTGGGTGTGGGCAGCCTGAGCTGGCTGGCATAATCTGGATTCTATATGGGACAATTCCATCCCACTCTACCCTCTATTACCATGCTAATATGAAGAGGGGTTATCTTATATGCATGTAAACAGTGCAGGGGAGGCTAAGCCTAGCTAAACCCTCTTTTCACGCTGGCTCATTAGCACCACAGAGTTTGCCCACTTTCTTGGTCTGATATTAATGTTTATAATGTGAAATAAAGTGTACACACTAATCATTTCTATGAGGTTAAAGGGAGCTGATGTAACTTTTGCTGAATTTAGAATGTATCACCACAGTAGCCTAGTAAAGAGTTATAAAGGTATCATTCTTTTTGCTAACAGTAGCTCAAATTAGCCATAATTAGCAGCTGGTCATACCAGACCATGTGTTTTATTGCTCATAAATTCACTTTTACATTTGTTATCTCCTTTTCAAAAGTTATTTAGGCTAGTCTCGCATCTCAGAACACTTAACATTATGTTTTTACTAAGTGGAAATTTACACATCATTAAAAAACCAGTTTTCACCACACCAACAAGTTGTTGCAATATATTCACACCTTCTGCCTTGGTGTTACTGTCATGCAACTAGCTAAACAGATGACAGACTAGCTTGTTAACCTGTAAAATTATGTGTGACATGATATATATACATTATAGTGACAGCAATGATTAAGCAACTAACATCACATTTTAACTTGGATTTAATATGTGTAGATTATCAATCGACCTGGCAAAATTTATGTTAAGTACCACCAAACTACATTTGACACAATGTGGCAAAAATTCAGTTTGGTAAGGTACTTCCCACTCGCTCCAAACTGCATGATTTCTATTTATTCTGACTCAACTTAATTTACAAATGATTGGCAGGTAAGTTTAGAGGCATAATCAGTTTGATTTGTCGGTTTCTGTTTGTGAACACACCATTCAAAGTCAGCCCCTCCTCCTCAGCTCAATGAGCAAAAGAGAGAGAGCGAGAGGAGCGGTCCAGCAAGAGTGAATGAAGAGAGGGAGCGACGTTGGCGAGATCAAAATGCTGAATTAAAGAAATTAAACATTATTTTCTGATTGTTCCACAGCGGCTACGTTCTAAAGCATAAATAAAAACGCCCACACCTCCGCACAACCCTGTGGAAGGGGCCTTGTTCCTGGATGATTGAGAAGGACTATTTTTGTCCATACTTTGTTTTTTAGGAAAGTCATTATGCCTTCAATATATCACTTGGAACTGTTCTTTTTCAAAACTATGTTAGAGCTTGTGATGCTGGAGTGACATTTTGTCAAGTTGCTATGCACTGTCACTGCTTCCTTGTGGAATCTCTTAATAAAGATGAGTTTAATAACGATGCCGTAGGCGGTGTCCGTACAAATCACAGCTTCTTCTCTTTGTGGGTGTCTTTAGCAGGCCGTGCCCCTCTCAGTTTCCGCTCAGTTTACTTTCCATGTTCCTGTGTCCCCTCGGAGAATCAGACAAAGGCCTGCCCTCAGCATGATATTCCCTCTGCTGTCAAACTGGAGAAAAGAGGAGTGGCTGCAAACTATTTTCTCCCTGCAGGGTTTCCCTTCATTCCCTTTACCCCTACAACCCCCAACACACACAACTAAAAGTCTGCCTCCTCAAATCTCATTGCCCTCATCCTCACTCTTACCCCCCCTTCCTTTACTTCTGTACCTCCTCTCCTCCCTCCCCTCCGCTCCTCTGCTCTCGCTTAATAGCTGAAGTATGCTGCAGGACAGAGATCAAAGCATCTAGTGATTTACAGGAAGGCCATACTGTTTCACAGCATCACTGACAGGGCCTCCAGACCCAGACTCACACCAGGATGTCTCGCCTGGTTGGCTAGTTGACTGGCTAGCTCACCGAGGAGCTGTCTGTCCGACTGGCTAATTGGCCGACTAATTCGACATTAGCGTTTATTTACACCAACCAGGATCACTTAGAACAGACTATGAAGCTAGACTATGTAACTACTAAAAGACTAAATAAGACATTTTAAGAATCAGGTTCTATATGCAATTCAGGGTAATCCTAACTAGAATTTATCATCCAGAGGGGGGGCCTGGGGTTGCAAGATGGAAAACCTGGCATGGCCATTTTCTCTCTGATCTCCGAATGAAAATGGGTTGTATGGGTATCCATGAATCTCCCCTTTGCAGATATTATGCTAATCCTATGCAGTTTTTAGGCTGAAATCGTGCAGTTTTTTGCATGTGGTATAGATGTGATAAGTGGCAACCAACCGATTACAGTTGTGAAGGTTCTGCAGACACATGGCCCCAAGGGACAACTGGACATATGACAAGCACATCTGACCCCAAGACTTACTGGAGCCTTTTTAACTTTATTATTTTCTTTTAAATAAATCTATGTTGTGAACATCAGCAAAATCTACTAGTATCTTTTTTTTCCTTCAGAAATTCACAATTTTGCATTGTTCCCACTTTGTGTGTAACTGACATTACAGTACATTCAGCCACTTGACTGACTTTATGACTCTCCTCCAGTTGTGGTACCGTTACAAAATGTTTGACAATTAGACAGCATCACTTTAAATGTATCTGTTGCTGTATACTTGCACTAGGGATGCAACTAACATTGTAAACCATTTCTATAATATAGTTTTTTTTTAGTTGACAAAAAGTTGAAAAATGAAAAGAAGTTCCAAGAGCACAAAAGCATCACATATGCAAAACGTATTTGAGTTCCTTTTTTTTGTCCAAACATCAAAAACCCAAAGATATTCCATCTACAACAATATGAAATGCAGATAAGGAGAAGCTAGTATCCATTCATTTTTGACATTTATTGCTTGATAAATTACTTAATCAATAATTTTCTGTCCGTCAACTAACTGATTATACTGATTAATGTATGCCCACAATGACAAATAAAGTGTCTTATGTCTCTTATGATTACTCAGCTAATATGCACACTCATGTATTGCATTACTCTCATTATCTCAAAGCAATGTTTCTATTTAGCCATTTGTATATTTTCCCAGATTGTCATCTGATACTGACTCTCTACCAGCTTCATGGCTGTCGGCCATGACCTTTGACCTCACTGGAAAGAAATGTGCCCTCTATGCTGCAATAAAGTATCACATTAATATTATTACAAAATATAATGAGGAGAAGGAACAAAAACACATAATTTACAGCCTCCTCATCTCCAAAGTGGCTACATAGTGGAAAGACTTCTTTCCAAGTGATGACAGATATGTTTTTTTTTTTAATGTTGCAGCCATGTGTGTAACAAGCCACTCTACGATGAGAGGGGGTTTGTCTTTCTCCTGAAAACCCTTCAAGCAGGAAGGTCACTCACCCTTCTTCCTGGCTTGCTAGAGGGATCTGGGAGAGCTTGGAGAGATTCTTGGCGTACTCCTCTTCTATCTTTATCCTGAGAGGGAAGTAGAGAGTTTCATTACCACACAGTCTTTACACAACATGAACTTTTTCATTCGTTTCCTGTGTTGTGCAACACAGTAATGTACATGAATGAGCACAAAAAAGGGGAAATGGTTTGTTGACAACTGTATGGTTTTCATGGTAACCTGAGGATGAAAAAAAAACTAAAAAGGGCAAATGGGCTGATGAAAAAGCCAATACCTCTCTCGGATGAACTCAGCCATCTCTTTCTGCATCTGTTTCCCCTTCAGCTGTTTCTGCAGCAAAACGTCAAATCCTGTGATGCAGCCGTTGCCCTGGGGATCCTTCTTATCAGTCTACGAGGTAAACACGGCAAGCACACGAGAAACGTATTGAACAAACAAACACTTAGCAACCAACATGAGAACATCACACCTTCCAGCTCAAAGAAAAACGTTGTCTTCTGCGTGCTCCCTCAAATACAGAGAGACAATCAGTTCAACTCTGATATGGATATGGTGTAGTTAGCTTGAGTGAATAATGTATTTGTTAATAACAAATAAATTAATTACTTTGTATACAATTAATTATTGACAAATTGAAACAATTAATTTATTGGTTAAAGGATCGGCATTATTCAGTGTTCAATGTACTGTAGTAACCAGGTTACTGTAAATTCCATGTAAGTGTAATGTGATAGGTATTACTTGCAGTGATAAACATACACAGAATGTTTATTATCATTTCAGAATTTCAGCTCTATGGAGTGTTTTAGCTTTTTTCAGATCAGCCCACAACTTCACTGATTTAGTTCAGTCGTAGCACTTCTGGAAACCGTTCTGGTTTGTGCACCTAGTTTTGAAGCATTCAGAGTATTTTGACCAAAAATAAATTAGTTTAGAGCCCCAGAAAATTGGTTCCCAGCTGAAAGCAAAAAATAGCAGGTTTTCCTTGGGAACCAAAGCAGGCAAATTCTACATGTTGTTGTGCATTGTGCAGCACCCTCTGTTGATGACACATCCTAGATTACAATGGTTCTGCTCAAAACTACTGGAAACGTAGGCTGGTTTGCTAGATAGCACCAAGGTGTTTTTTCTGATGAACCAACTTATTTAGTGCAGTTTGTGGAGAGAAAAACCAAAAGGAGAATGAAAAGAAATGCAACGCAAAATCAATGCTAATGCTCATGTCTGAACATTCTTTGCTAACACGTTAGCCATAACAACTTTATTAGGTGATGTATGTCATGGTTTCAACATGTCCTGCTGCCCCCCAGGTAGATCAATATGAACTTATTCTACTTTTAAGTTTTACCGTACAACATAAGTGCCTTTCAAATTTTACTTTTGAAATGATTCTCAAAAGAAGAATCCTATGAACTACTTTTTGTCAGGAGCAGTTTTATTTAAATGACTGAATGTGAGGATGCTCAGTTACGAGTAATGATCTTTAATTGCATCCGTCTGCACTGCCGTCCCATCTAGTTTCACCTGAATTCAAATCTCATAATTAAAGCCATTCCAATCAAATTTCTCTGATGCTAAATATGTTTGTTTTTTGTTAAGATGATATTTTAAAAAATCTGATAAATGCAGAAAAGCAACAGTAAATGTACAACTTAAGTGCATGTAAACAAACTGATTACAAAGCTCATAAACTCACATTAGTCATGAGAACAGAAGCCAATGGTTCATTAAAACTGAGCTGTTTTACTAAAATTAACATGTGTGACTCTGGTGTCCATTTTCCCGACTCATTCTTTCTTCCCACTGTCACCTCTGTGTGTATGACTACAGTGTGTTAGCTCCACACACCACACCTGGTAGAGATTACACTGCAGGGGCGGAAGATGTCCTAACATTGCAGCAGAGGCCTGCTGGCTCACTGCACTCCAGCCAGTTCCATGTAATGTATTATCCTACAGTAATGTCTGGTGGATCTTATTAAAGCCAATGCTGATTCCCAGCGTGCAGCGCAGCCAGTATGAGATAAATATGGAGTCACGGTGAAAGATGAAAAGGATCCGGTGTTGTTTTTGTTCTCTGAGATGTTCATTTAGTGATTTAGTGGGGAAAGGGGTGATGTCAACAGAGGCACAATCATTTTTTTGAAAGGATCAAGTTTCTTTCTTTGGTTGCTTTTTTCAAAAATTGGCCTCCTCTAGATCTTTTCCTTCTTCCACTTTCCTCTGTTTAAGTATCTTTCTCTTGGTTTGGAGAGCTCTTGTGCGAATACAGGGCATAAACTAAAGAGTGAGTTTTTTACATAAAAGATTTTAGTACTGTTTTAAACCCAATGCTGCTTCTGCTCAGTTTTTATTCACTTATTTGATGGCGATCCATCTGATGATGGAAGCAGCTAAGGAGTGAGCCTCGCTTCCTTCTCATCTCTGTTGAGATGCACATGTGCAGAACTTTTCATTTGGATTCTTTTTTAAGAGATAAAACAATATATACCTTTTTCACAATCAGAATCAGAATCAGAAATACTTTAATAATCCCAGGGGGAAATGATTTATAGTATGTCTTTTTTAGACAATTTCTAAATTAATATCATCAGATAAACTAATAAAACTGAAATGTTATGCTTCCAGCAGTAAGTGTATGATGTCAAGTTGCCTGAGAAGAAGAGTTGCAAGTTTTTGTCGTTACGGTACTGCTCTTTATCTTCTCCTTCAGATAAATCACAGCCAGGTTGTGCAATGGGGCAGCAGACAACAAATTTACGGCCTCTTAAACATTGAGGTGAATTTACCCAGAAGTAGTCACAGTAGCTCCATTCGTTTGGCTTCAGCAGCTGTTGCTCTGGCATGCATGCAAGAGACGGGAACGTCACACAGTTAATCTAAGAGAGAGAGAGAGGGAGAGAGAGTGGGAGAGAGAGAAAAAGCCCCAGAGGGAGGGCAGTTTAATGGGGCAGTTTATAGAATCATGACAGACAACTTCGCTTTGATGCCACTGTACTGTACAGCAGCATTATTAGTGCTCCATGTGTTGACAGTTTATAGAAGTATACTCACACTCACTCACACACACACACACACACACACACACACTTCTTCTCTGGTATTCAAGGTAGTCTGCACTCTGTTGCTTTGGCAACACTCTCTTCTCAGCAGCTCTGAGAACACACAAAAGTAAAGAAGACAATCCGATCGACCCAGCATTGTTCATTCACGTTTCTCTATTCGCCCTGTCCTTGGGGACACTATTGTCAATACAGAGCCTTTGTGGTTCTCAGCCTTTTTGGGATTCATCGTTGAGCGCTCTACCACAACACTCAGAACTTCTACTTTGGCCCAGAGCAATCAGTGAAATGGATTCCCAAAGATTGCCTTTAATTATCTTAGTGCAGTTAATTGTCTCCCAGCAGCAGTGCTGTTGGATCAGCTGGCTGCAGGGGCTCCCTGCTGTGAGCTGCTTGGTTCTGCGCTGGGTATAACTCAACAGGACAGTACACAATGCATGTCGCTCTAGTACTTTCTGTGCTCAGAGGCTTGGTAAAGTGCTTTTATATTTTTCCTTTAAACCTATAGGGTGGTAGGGAAGGTAGAAGACAACCACCTTTATGAAAAGCAGACACTACAGTTGTCAGACATCACAGCTGCTTTGGATACAACGGCACAAGGTCAGGGTTTGACAAGTTGTCACTTCCAGATTTAGCAGAACAAAAACTTTTTTCATGACAAGGGAAGAAGAATAAAGACACAAAAGGGAAAAGTAAGAGAACACACATCTCAAAAAGAAACATGTCTTGGGATACAAACAGACCCCAGGTTTGGCAAAGACTGCAGGGCAAACAAAAGCAGCTTTATCTTCTCTCACATGCGTTCCAATTAACCTCAGGAGGTAAACAGCCTGCAGCGAGGATGCACTGGTTCTATTTTAAAAACTTCAGTGGCACCAGAGAGCACCCTTGTCTAATGCCAAAGCCTCGCAATTCAGAGCAAATCGACAAATGTGGTTCTGCTGATGACTTTTCCAGAGCCAATATTCAGATTGAAATGCAAGAAGAAGAAAAAGGCCTCTAATTCAACCTTATCTTGGCTTATGAAGCTTATAATTTGTTTGAGGGAGTGGCTCTCTATTCAATCACTGCCGAGGTCCAGAGGTTGACAGTTAGCAGGGCTTTAAACTGACCCCCGCTTCTTTTGGCGAAGATGAGGGCAAGGCTACTTCCAGCAGGCTCCAGTGAAGGGCTTACTGTGTTTGCATTCACACCCCAACACTGCTTCTAGCACTTTCTTTCCTGACCTTTGGTGACCTTGATCAATTGACCATTCATTTAACCCCTCCTCCAAACAGTGAATGCCCTATATTAGCTCGTAACTAGGCACAGCAGGCCTGCCAAGCTTTTGGATTTTGGCATGTTGAAGCGGGTGGTGGGAGGGTGGTGTCTGTTATTTGCCTTTCAAAAACAGAAGAGGGAACTGGCAACAAATGTGCTACAGTGTGTTTATCTGCAATAATTTAAGATGCAAACGTTAGCATGTCCAGGTAACTAGCTTACTACTCACAATAGTAGCCTAGCGTTTTGTCACAAGGCACAGAGTTAGCTAACTTATTTTGAGGTATATTAGAAAGGATCTCGTTCAGGACTGAAACCAGCTAAACTTCTTCTGTGAGATAGAGTTCTTGTAAAAATCTAAAATATTATTTGAAAACACAAACAATAGAGCACAAATATAACCTTTGTGTTGTTTCTATAGTAAGCATCTTTTGTTGTCCCTGTGCTATGATACTGCTAACTAGCTACCCTGCATTACAAGAATGCGTCTCCATGACTTTTTGTCTGTACTATAACTTTAGCCCTGTTTATTAGCATTATATCATGTATGTAGCCACAAAAAACTTATTTTTAGGACTCATTCTTGTTGCAGCCAGAGAGTTTCAAACCAACTCACAGATTTAACGTTAGCTATAAAGCTGATAAAAATCTGTTAGCGACAGTTATCTTTGCAACTAGCTAAATCAATAGTCGTCAGCAGAAATGTGAAGCTTACTAAAAAATTTGTAAGAATTTGCAAATCTTCCACTGTTATTATTGACCGTTTTGTACACAATATCAGCAGCAGTTAATAGTACCAAATGTAGCTCCCCTCACCTCTCTTTCTCTCATGTTTCCCTTTTATAACCATCTGCTCAAACTCTCTGGTTTGCTAATGAGAAATGTCTCCTGTGGGTAAATACATGAGATTTATAACAACTCCCCCCCCCCCCCCCCCCCCCATATACTTTCTTCTCCCCCCTTCTTCTCTTTCTCTTTTTTTCTTCCCCTCCGACTCTCAACTTTTGTTCTGTTTTCCACCTCCTTTCTTCTCCCTCTCCGCAACCTCTTTTCTTCCCTCTTTCTCTCTTCTCTCACCCTGACCTTTCCCGTCTTATATTACTTATTGAAATCATTCTCAATATGTCTTGGTTTTTTAAAATGGTAAGGATATAAAAGAAAAGAGAGAAAAAGAAAAAAGAAATCCATAACGTCACAGCAGCAGCTACTTATCGAGGCCCAACAGGATGCGACGACCTGACAACAGTGGAGAAATCATCTGGATGCTGGATAGGATGATGTCACTGTGTATCTGTATACTAGCAACTGAAAACAAGCACCAAACACTTCTACCAGCAGTGAATGGATATGAACTATAGAGAGAGCAACACTGAGGAGGAAATTAAACATATTTACAGCTTTCATATAGTGAAGATTTAGTTTGTTTATTGTCCCAATGTATTAAATACATGTATTAATGTATTTGTATTACAACTGATGCAGCAAACATGTATCTGGAAAAAGAAATCCCACCAGGGCAATCTGCACTTCTGGAGATTGCATTTCCTTAAACTGTCATTTCCAAACTTGGGGGGAAAAATACTTAAGCTGGTATCAAATCTGGTCCTTCAGGGCTACTGTAGAGAGCCAGGGTGAGTTCATGGTTCGTTAAGAGTTCCCGTTAGTTGCCCCACTCACCGTGACCGTGGTCTCCTTGTTCTGTTTCCTGGTGGGTGACGTTGATCCCGGGCTCTGCTGAGAGAAGAAGGACGCTCCGTCAAAACCTCCGTCCTCTGTGTCAGACATGACTGCTCAACATACACACACTGTCACTCGCGCACACACACAAACACAGTTGTTTTCCTGGCGAGCGCTGTTAGCGTCTGTCTGGTGCTCACTCCGCTTCTGCTGCTGCTGCTGGTGTGTATGTATGTGTGTTAGAGTGTGTGTTGCTGTGCAGAGTAGGGAGGATAGTTCTGCAGAGCAAAGCAAAGCATGGTTGGCTTTCTCTCTCTTTGTGTGAGTGTGGATGTATGCGTGTGTGATTTCTAACACTTAAGCTTAGAATAGAGAAATTTCCAGTGTTCTGAGATGAACCAACAGTGTGAGAGTGTATGGAGGGGACAGAAAATAGGAACTAAGTATAAATATAAACTGAGATAAAGTAGTAAAATAGGGAGTTTCACACTTCCTCTCATGCAAAAAATTAGAAATATCCAAGAGAACAGAACCTTGAATTCCCAGTAGCAAAAGTGTGTTAATATTTTTTGAATGGCTGGGTGTGTGTGCTCGAGTGTAAGATGCAGAAAAGGAGGGAAACAAGGAGACAGAGTGAATAAGTGGTGGGTGGATCCTGTATAACTGCACCCTGACTGCCTGGTTAATTATGATCAAGGGAACAGATACTGTAGGAGGGATTAATCTGCTCTAACTGCCATCAGCCTCTCCATTAATGATGAGAGGCGAAAAGAGAGTGGGGGTTTGAAGACTCCATCGTGCATCATTATTATTGCTATCAAACACAAGCTTTGTATTATCTGTGATTTATTTTTATAACTGCATAAAGATGCTATAAGGTGTAAGGCTGGGTATTGAATTATTGAATTTATATTTACAATAGATTAAATTTCTACATGCATATGAAAGGGGGATACATGCAGTGACAAAACCACAGGGAATTATCACCCAAACATACAGTATTTTAGCGTCTTTTAGCCCTATGTTTTGGTTTTATAGCCCGTTTTTACTGTTTTGGTTCACTGTTGTTTTCAGGAGCAGCAGGCAGCTGTGTTTAGCGAAAAAAGCTCTAATAAATGGAGTGTGCTACTGCTACTTGTCCAGCACCAAACAGCAGATGGATAAAGTTTGCGACTAGCTAGTAAACATAGTGGAGCATTCAGCATCTAAAGAGAGTGAATACTGGACCCGAATTTGTTGGCTAGCCAGAAACGTGACTGCAATTGAATACTAATGTTATAATATCGCAGCTTTAAAGGTTTTTGGTACATTTTTGATGTTGAGTGTCAAAAAAAAAGTACCAAAACCTAGCCCCAGTCAAAAGAAACTTTGCTCTAAGGTTTATTAGAGCCTTTAAACTGTTGACTGGAAGAACTGAAGTTCATCTGGCAGTGGGTTTTATTCATTCTGATGTAAAAGTCTACAAATGTGACTGCTGGTAAATGCTAGTGAGTAGTAACTTGAATAACCTACTAAATAAGGTGGAGAGACATTGAAATTATGATGAATCGATCACTATTTTCAGATCAGATTGACAACCAAAGTACTAATTTCATGATTTAAAACAAAAAAGCTATTAGCGTTATATAGAGTTATTTAGTATGTTTTTTACTTACAATTGAATTGTATTTTTATCTGATAAATTATTTAAAAGGTATATAAACCCAAGCCCGCTCACATTAAAATGTCTATAAACAACTAGACCTATGTAATATGTTTTGTTGAGCTGTGTACTTACATTATCTCAAATGTTTTCAACAACCTTTGTTGCATGTCATACCACCTCTCTCTCTACCGTTTCCTGTCTCTCTACACTATGACCGTCAAATGAAGGCCAAATCGCCATGGTTCACCCTCACAGGTGTGTTCACTTAATTAGACTTCTGTCGATGAAGCTCTGCTCAGCTCTCTCTCGCAATCTCCTGTTAGTTTGATGTCAGCGGTTATATGAGTGTGGGTGCATGAGAAATGACAGTGATGTATAAAAAAATAGGAAGTATTAAAATGACTCAATGGAAACTGTACCCTCTTTTAGACAGAGTTTATGCTCACTCAGCAAATGAATTGGACTGTGTTTGGTGTATTTCATGTTGTATAGGAATAGGAATAACAGACAGCTTTACCTGTGGCTCTGTACTGCTTTTCCTAACCACACTGTTGTGTGAATGCTCCACATGATGCAAGGGACTACCACTTGAGTGAAATCCGTTCACTGGAGAGAAATGAGAAAAAGATCAAGATGGAGAGAGAGAGAGAATTAAATTTCATTAGTCATTTGGTGTCTGCAGTTGTAACAAGTCAAACCAAGCCAGTGCTGAGCTGTCTTTTTGTCTCTGTAGCTTGATAAATGTCTTTAATGGGGCGAGAACAGATCAAAATCAGAGATGTGGACTGGGTAACGCTAGCTGCCTATATGTAAAACCATCACTTCATTGTTTGTGTGTGAAGTCCTTCCTAAGTTTCAAACCAGTTACCAACAAAATTGGGTTTCACCATTAAAACTTAATGAATGTCTTCGCTAGCTCAGTAATGTGCTAATTAATATACTAAGTAAACAAGATTCCCTGTAGCATTACAAGCTAAAACAACTCAACTGCAACAAACAATATATTAAGCTTAACTGCAATGCTTTTTAAATGTAGGTATGAAGTACGTGTTTCAGAGTTGGCAATATTCATACAAATAAGAATGAGTTGGAAATGTCCAATTATGTTAAAGTAACCAACTTTATTTGGTCATTTGGTCTAATGCTAACATTATTAGCTTAAATTTTAAATTCTCCCATTTGACATTATCATTAAATAGCATATTTTACTCTTCAAACTAAACAGGTCAAATATTAGCAAGCTAACGTAAGTTTTGTTAGTTGGTTTGGTTAACTACATAGCAGTTACTAGGTGTATGAGAAATAACTAATCTCTACATGACAACTAGTCTATTTTAATATTTTCTAATTTAGTCCTTTAATTTAGTAAACCTCCATTTAAAAGAAGGGGTTATCCAGTGTTGGTACACTGCTCCGGCTCTGTAAATGGGAAACAAAGTGGATCGGACCAAGCCACACAACACTGACTTGTTATTCCAGCCATTCCACCTAGGAGTTGTGTGTCAGGTGACGTTAAACGACTTGCCCACAGACATTCAGTTACTATTTTAGTTTCTAGTTCTGTTGTTGTAAGGTTAGTAATAACAGCAGGTGAGTTGGGAATATCGTTGTCTGGAGCTCTTGAGCTTAAAAGAAATTTGTCATTCACATTCACACAGCCAACATGAGCAAGCACTTTCCCATTTAAAAGTTTGTTTTGAGGCAAAACTAAGTAGTTGTCCGTGACAGAAATGATATAAATGCATGAGGGCTGCTCCCACCATTTGAACATCTCACAAACCTTACTGGCTCTCTCTGTTTATCTGCCTTTAGAACAGGGCCAAAAGAAAGACAGAGGAGGCCTTAGTTCTGCAGTTGAGGCTACAGATAAAATTAGTCACAGGAAGTGTCTGTGTGTTTGGTGTGCATAAGCGGGTGCCTTGTGCCACTGTGGAATTTTATGAGAATTCACAGCCCCGGGCCACAAAACTTGAGGAAGTTGAACTGATAGAGAGTTCAGATGGAGAGAGATAGATTGTAGTACCTGCTGGCAGGGAGTTCTTGTGTCGGAGGGACATCTTAGGGGTCCCAGGTGTGCTGGACGGTCTCTCCCATGTGGTCTCTGATGATGTGCAGGAGAAAGAGAAGAAAAACAATGAGAGCAGTACCAGCTGTCATATTCTTTTTGCCATTGTTACAAGTTTTGAAACTATTTGTGGGCACTGATATGAAGAAGTGATTCCATAAACGGGTGCAAACTTGGCACTTTCAGTCAGCAGTTAAACGAGAAAAAAAAGCACAGATCTTCCAGTGTATTACCGCACAATTGTTAGAAACTGTTTCACTTTACTCAGACATTGTGTTCATATTTTGGAATGGGCTATATTTTAAAGTGGTAGCAGTTTCTAGGTCTAAGTACACTTAATAACCGTAACAACCACACTAATGAGCACAAAACCAGAGCAATTCAAATCACCAATCTGAGATATAGGTGTCAATTCAAAGGTCTGAAACTGGACAAAGATAAGATGAATGAAATTACAAGAATAAATTATAAGCATTTGACAGGAATGGACACACTCAGCGAACCTCTTCCATTGCACAGCACCATGGCTAAAAGCTACCTTAACAAGTCTCTGATAGTGCCATTCCAGTGGTGTTTTTTTTTATTTTTACAGTATTTCTTTCTTCTAATGTGTTTCTTGTTAGCAATTTTGAGACCCATACATACATTCCACAAATAAAATATTAAAGTCACAGTGAAGCGGAAGTTAGGGCGTCTTCAGTAATGTTTGTGGCGTAGGATTCAGATTCAGAGAGATATAGAGCTGCAAAGGCCTCCCTCAACCGCGTTGCCAGATTGGGAGTTGATCCTCCTAGTAAGGTATTGTTCTACTAGTTATGCACAAGCTAACGGCCCCAAATCACATTTGATTGTATAAATTTATGAAATGGCCCCGAGTTCAAAGTTATCTGAGCTCAATAGAGGCACTGATACTTCCATCATCTGCCCCCATTTGATTTATGCTGGTAAAGATGCTGAAGAAGGAGGATGTAGAGCATGACTGACAAATACCCTAATACAGAAGGGCTCTCTTTGATTTTTACTCCCCTATGTCCATTCTCACCACAGCCCTGAGCTTAGGGCTCAATTAGCCCTCTACTGTCAGCATAGAAAGGAGAGGGACATGTAAAGAGCTCTTATTTCATTTGGGTCTTTTTGGCTGCCTCTGCTCTATTTGGCACCGCTTAGCAGAGGAGACAAGTGAGCCAAGCCCATCAGCTCAAATGACACGCATGGAGGGGATAACTGGCAGCAGGCTTATGGAGAGAGGCTGTGCCTTCACATTTGATGTACAACACCAGCGCACAGCCTTTACTCACTGGCCCTAAATGCCTCAATTTCTCTCTGTTAGGTTGTCATAAACAAATCAATACTGTGAGAAACATAGGATATTAATGCAGAAGAATATAACATAATCTACTTAGCTCAGGGAAATTGTTTGTTATTGTGACTGCCAAAGGGATAGAAGTCAAAACATCATTTAAAAAAAGATTTATATTACATTTATATGTGGATAACACCCAGTTTGCCAGATTCAAAGCCAGGAAGCTCAATTGAAATTAAAAAATAAGTCAGCTTATGAATAGTATTTTTAATTAAACATTCCCTTAAAAATATTTTTTGTCAAATTAAACAGCTTTTTTTAAATAGTTTTGACTTGTGACTTTAGATTTGGAGTGTGAAATCCCACATATTTACTATGTTTGACACCGAACAGCTTTAGTTTCTAGGCAACTGGCAACTTGAAATGCAGATTGCTGATCATTTCCGCCAAACAGGTTTTTATGCAGGTGAGGGATCAGACTTGGCACCTGCCAGTTTCATACCTCCAGATACAGTGATACATATGCAGCAGCAGCAGCAGCAGGAGTGATTCTCATCAGCCGCCTTGTCACGGACGAGCAAAGTCTCAAAAGTTGTCATTCACTCTAAATTGCCTTGATAAGTCTTGATTGTGGAATTTAAACCCAAGCTGGCTCACTTTACCCTCTTTACCATTCATGGAATGGCTCATCCGCCCCTTTTAGGCCCGTCAGATCGTAATGATGTGAATTCATGATATCAATGATAGTCGCTAATGATTCAAGCTGCATGAGGATATGCTCTTTTATGCAACATAAAAACACCAATTAATGCTTTTCTGATTCACCAAAGTCAGTCATAACCACATTTTCATTTTGCAAACATGACTGGCTCAGAGTCACTGGAGTGTAGCAGCAAATCGTCAGCTAACAACAAAAGACAGCAGTTGTGTGTACACGAAAATGTATGAATGAAAATAGTCAACAGCAGGTCTAAACACAAAAATAACTCTGGCATCAGCTTACTGTCCAACCACGCCACAAGTGAGGCGAGACATCACCGATTCTGAACGGGGAGAAGGAGAAATGGCCTAGTTAGCTTTGACACTGCTATATTTTATTCATAACAATATGACACTGGTCCTTGATGCATTAGCTACCTCCTGTCTCTGTTTTTTATCAATCACAGCCCATTAACACTCATATTCCAAAGAGGAAACACCGTTGACAGACAGCGCTTACGGGATCTCCTCTCATAGCAATAGAACAAACATAAAAAAAGCAGAAGATGCACTGTAGCTATTGTGGAAAAAGTTAGCAATCACAGACTACACCAAGCCTCTGAGTGGGCAGGCCAGTGTACTCTTTTGATTGACAGCTGAGCTGACAGTGTCATAGAGACGCCATGTAAACAAAGAGACTGCTGGAGACTCGCTTACAAGCAAAGGACAGACAGCATTTTGGTATCAGTGGTATTTAAGAACAACCATTTAATATCTAAACTGAACAAGGTTGTCTATATCTGCAGGCAAGAGAGTTGAAATGAAACAGGTTCTGCTCCAGAAGAGAAAAAAACTACATTCACTGTCAATGTAAAATTATCAATTAATCATTTTGGTCATTTTTCAAGCCAAACATTTTCTGGTTCCACTTTCTTAAATATGAGGATTGATGAGGGAAGCTTTTCTTTGTCAGTCTTTGGGTTTTGGACTGTTGGTTGGGGAAAAGCAGCAATTTAAAGATGTCATTTTGGGTTTGGTGAAATTGTGATGAGCGTTTTTCACAATTTTCTGACATTTTGAATTAATCGTGAAAATATTTATTGATAATGAAAATAAGCCAGAGTTGCTGCAGCCTTATAAATCACAAGGATGATAAAACAGAATTAACAAATGTATTCAGTAGTGTCATTTATATCATGTTTATGCTACAGCAATAATGAAAATCCCCACAAGACCAAACCAAGGTTTACCAAGTGATGGGCCACTGCATCATGATGCCAGGATGAGCAGGGCTGGTTTGGACATTACAGTAAAAAACTTTAAAAGATGGTATTAGAAGGAAGCGTGGGTAAACATCATTGGTAAAGAAACACTGCTATGCTAGTAAATTGGAAGCTGTTTCATTTTGTCAAAATCAAATTTAGATAGTTGACCACAGAAACTTACACTTTTCCAGAAACAGAAGCTAGTGGAATAGCAGCAAATCTCTATGTGCTACAGCTAACTAGCTAATTAGCTGACTAGCTAACGTAATTAGCTAATGTTCGTACTGTACTTTTCCAATAGCTTGGAATATGTGTTTATTCTTATACTGTGGATAGGAACAAGACATTGGCTTCAATTTTAATGGCCATGTTGACCAAAAAGAGCAACAGACTTTGAACCGCAACAAAACTGTATTAGCTAAAAGTAGCTAGTCTTTATGAGTTGTGGGGCAGGCTGCTCTTTGGCTGCAATAGGAAGGTGACATTATTGTTCAAATGAAACGATTTGATTTGGAAATAACTCATGAAACCAGAATATATCAAATATAAGCACAGAATGTATCATTTACAGGGCAGATCTGTATGCAGTAGCAGAAACCAGAATCATCCAGTGTAATTCAGATGCATTTCATTTATTAAGAGAGTTTTTTATAGCTCACTATGAATCAGACTTCATTCAAAAATACCTGCAACCTGGGGGAACTGTGTGCTATAAATCTACAGTGTGTGTTGGGACTGTTGAGTATTTGGTTTGGTGTGTTTATAAAGCAGCCCGCTGGTCAGGCTGGGATGAGTGGAGAGTCTTTGGAGACGGCTGGTACAAACCGCAGCACCCTGCACCGCTGCACCCAGCAACACAGGAAGGAAAACCTAGAGAAAAAACAAGCTCTGACACAAGGACATGCAGCCCTCACCCACGCACTCTGCTCTGTTACCATGGCGACGCGGAAACACAAACACACGCATGAAACACACACGCAGGACAGTATCTAATCTAGCTGAACTTTAGAGTAACAAAGGGGAGGTCCAGTGAAAATAGCAGAGATGCTATAAATACCTAATGTTTCAGGAAAAATGTTATCAGATGGGTTTGTTTGGAAACAGTCGCTGCAGTGGTGAGTTTGAAAGAACCACAGGCCTGTAGTCGAGTGAGCGGGAGCGTTCTCTGCGCTTTCATTTTGTCATCACGCAGCAAAGACACAGAAAATAAGTCCTGGAGGTTTTCTGTGCCCACAGAGGCCACTTTCATAACACCACAGCAACAATACTGCTTTATTTATGAGCCAGGACTACAGATGGTTCTTTATGTGCAGAAAAGTTATGAAAAATTAATCATTGTCTCTCTTAGGAAATGTTGTGAAACTCTTGTCATTTCTGACTCCGTCCCTCTGGAATATGATCAGTTTTACTACTAAAGAAAAGCCTCCACACCCTGTCACATGTAGACAAAACAGATCTGTTGAATTCCCAGAGGAAGAACATGCAGACGGAGGGAGAAGAATTGAAAGTTTTGAGGTTATCTTAACTGTTGAAGCATCTAATAACGACACATTCAACATGGTCCAAGGAGTCTGGTTTGTTTCCAGCTCTTTGTCATTGGCACTAAATAGAGGAGGAGAGGAGGAAAAGGAAGAGCGACTCCCCTGGTCTCGTGGCTGGGTGGAGCCCTCGGCTAATTCTAGGTCCCCTCTCGCGGCCGCAATTTGACCGCAGCAACCTCGATCAGAGACGTGCATTATGTGAACAGCTCTGTGTGTGCCGCTGGTTGCACTCATAAGTGACTGCTAAACCACAATCACGCTTATATGAAGGACACAGGTGAACATGGTCATCGGGCCTGCAGGAGTCATGCCTGTAGGAGTGATTTAAAGTGCGGTTCACTTTGGTCTGAATTCGTGTTCACACTGACTTGTTACAAACAACCCAAGAGCTGTACGCCTGAGGTTATATAGACTAACAGGTAACTCATTCAATGGACAGTGTTGGTGATGTCATCCTGCATCATCAGTGCTACAAAGACTCAAGGCGGGAAATAAATGTCTGGTGTTGGAGAGCAAGGCACACAGCACTTTATTGTGGTTCACTGTTATTTTCTCTGGTAAAACAGACAGCTCATGAAGAATTAACTGATTATAATTATTAGCCGTGACTGTAACTAGTCCTTTATTTTGGTTTAGTTTAGTTTATTTTGGTCAATTGAACTCATGTCAATAAATATATTTGGTAATTTTAACATATATAGTACAACTCAAACATGTAATTGTAAATAAATAAATAAAATTAAAGCAAGTTATACTGGCCAAAAAGGTGCAGACTGAATTAGCTTATTACACCAACCCTTTTCACTCATCATCATTAGTTATGTACAGATCAGTTTAGATTAACATGCCAAAAAATACCCAAAAGTCAGAAACAAAGTTCATATACAGTTAGTATAGTTCATACATCTTTTATATACGACAAATGAACTGTTATACATCTTTGTTTCGCATTAGTTCTAATCTTTGTTTCAACCTCATATACCATGTTGTGTATAAATAGTAATTTCAGCTCCAGGTTACTTTATTTGTACCCGTAGATGCAGCGGACTGACAGACAGAGGAATCTGTAGTGGAATCTCATGGGAAAATAGTTCCTAATATGTTTCACTCACTTTTTAATGGGCAACTGCTAAAATACAAGACACACCTTTTTACTTTCCTAATGTATTTGGGAAAATCCCTGCATTCATGTGTGTACATGTTGCCACGGTTACCAAATAAGCTTTTGATAAATATAGGCAATACATTCATACAGAGATAAGCAGTCACATTTCTGCTTAATTTTCACACCACAAACAAACTTCACCACAGTTCAACTGGAGGCGGACTCAAACCCTCTTTTTATAGCAGGCTCAGTCCGTGTCCATGGCCTGCACTTTCTGTTGGCAGAGAGTAGCTAGCACTACTTTGTGCTAACATACCCAAAATGCAATGTGCCACAGATTAATTTTGATGTGATAAGGCCTGAAAATAAGAAAATGGTCCTACATGAGGCCCGTTGTCACCCCCTTTTTTTTTTATTTGGAGCACTGCGTCTGAGAAACCTGCACTTTCCAAACTTTATTACATCCTGGGTCCAAGGCACATGAGCGCTGCCAAGACATGATATTAGTATCATCAGTCAGGTTTTACAGTGAGGTCACTCAGGGATAGTAAAAACAGGCTATGTTGCTATGTCTGTGGAACAGAGGAGCGTATTAAGCTGTCTTTGTGCCTCTGTGTGTGTGTGTGTGAATGTGTGTGTTCGGGGAGACACTGAGTGGTGATTGTGTTGACAGAAACAAGGCACTATCAGCAGTATCACTTCTACGCCCTCTGTCTCTCACTGGTACCATCACTGCTGTAGAGACAGAGCATACGTTTAACTCCACTACTGATGGATGAAATCGCTCAGGTATCATTTTTATGATAAATACAAGCTCCTCGGTGGAACGTGCAATTATTACGTGGCCATTGGTTTAGATGCCAAATATTCTAGATGGTTTTCACCAGTCCTTCCTCCTTCAAACAAAACCTTTGTTGAAACGCGCTTGTTCAGAAAACAGGTATTGGCTTAATACAAAATCCATCTAGAACGGGCATTGACATTGGCCACCGTGGTTACCAGGTAGCCAATCAGTGTCACTTGCAATCGTATGCCTGGCTCTCAAAACTCATCCCACTGGCAATGGCAAAAGCATTTCTTTTTCTGTCTCGGTCTTGAATCTAGCACTCTCAGATTTGACTTGGGCCTGAACCTCTTTGGACTAGGTCCTGACTTGGCCTCGACTAGTACCCAATGCCAGGCTCCACTCACAGCAAAAACATATTACAAATGAAATAATGTAATAAGAGCAAAAGAGCTTTACAGGATTTAAAACAGCACTGATATAAGCAGCTGGGTTTATAAATAAAGGGACAAATCCCATTTAGTACAACTTGGGTCTTATTGCTGTGGTTTGGGCCATCATCTCTCTTTATTAGTTATTTCATCAGTTACATAAACTGCTTTCTTTGGAGGAAAAAACTGTGAGCAACATTTCAGTGATGATTCCTCGCTGCACAGGAAAAATGAGTGCACACAACTACAGTAAGTAAGTTCAACTACTAAACCACAAAGCAGTTCTGACTTTGTGGTTTAGCAACGAAGAATGTGAAAAACAAACAGTTTGGTTCAATAATTCCACCATTCACATTTTTTTCCTTTTTCAACAGAATTTTACTCAACTGCTGGCTTGTTTACAGCCTGTATGATCATCGAACTGTGTTTCTTCTAGCCCAGTTGGATTTTTTTTAGTGATGACGCCCAAATTCTATCTTGGCAATTAACTTGGTGAATACAGTGTTATTAATACAGATGGGAAAGACAAAATCCCAAAAATTAGACCCACATTGTAATAAAGCGAAATTATCCTTGAAGCAATGTTGATTACGTTTCCTTTTCCTAAAAATGTAACAACCACATAAATAAATATTGTTATTTCTCAAACTGCGAGGCGCACCCACCCTGGGGGGTGCGAGAGAGCTGAACAGAGGGGGTGTGTGGAGGGTGAGACGTGAGACAAAGATAGTGTGTGACGGGCGGATGGTTAAACAGTTTTCTCTAAAGAAATAGTTCCAACCTGTAACTCCCATTTGTTGTTTTTACATTTCTGTTTGTGTACCGGTTAAGCTGTTAAACCGTATCTTTATGCTAAGCTAAGCTAACCACGTCCCTGCTCCAGCTCCACACTTAACACACAGACATTGATATTGATAGTCACTGCAGTTATGTAAAATCTGGATCCCTTAAGAGCAATGTTACATTTTATTGACTCTTACCATTGTTTGTGGTGTTGACGTAGTATCGCCGCCCTTGTGGAGACATGTAGCATCTCCACTGAGGAGGCAGGGGGTCTTTGATGTCATCAACAGGGAGCTGACTCAGAGATGCTGTCCTCTGTCAAACAGAAAAAGCATGAGAACATCAGTAATTGCCAATAATCAGGAACGCACTTATCAGGACACTGGAGGTGAATTTAAACACCCTGTTAGATCCACCATGTTAGACTTATTTCTCAACAGTCTGTCATAACTGAAACTACTGCTGGAGATAAACACAAAAGAAGATAAAACAAAACCACCCAAGATCAGACTACACACTAGATGCAGTAGAAATGTGCAGCATTCAGCTCGGGTTCAATGAGGTTCTCATTTCCTTAAGTATTTCACAACCAGCAACCAATGACATCATAACGGAGCAGGCTGAGCTGCCGCCGCTGCCACACAAGGAACAACAAACTGCCTCTGCAGTTGGACCAAGACCCTGAGCTCCAGAGTCAGCGTATGTGCACACAACATACAGCCAAGGAACACGAGAGAGCGTGTAGGCAAATTGCACACATCTGCTACTGATTAGCAGGAAAACAACAGGCTGAGACCATTGTAACACATTTGGGAGATGCTGTATGGAGGCTCGGGGAGTCAGATGAAATTACATATCAGCTACAGTTTGGTTATTGGGGACCATGCCAAGTCATTCAAGCATCTATAAGAGGTTAGTTTTAGTAACTGCAAGGAAACTTAATTCAGTCACTGCAGGCTATATATGAATTCAGTAGAACACAGTAGGAGAAGGAGGAGGCTTTTGCCAGTATGGATGTAGAATTGGTCTTAAATTACATCCACAATGGTCTTAAAAAGTTCTTAAAAAGTCTTAATTTTAACCAGTCGAAACCTATAGAAACCCTGTAGAAATGAGAAGCCTGCTTTTGTCCACCTTGTCTGCAATTGCTTCAGAAATGACTATAATCGACCAACGCAAACCTCGTGCTAGCTCTGGGTTGGTGCTAATGCCCATTCGGAGTTTGTTTTACGAATCTTGTTTTTCCACAGGCTAGAGAGCCTTAATAGCTAATAAATACATATGGCTGGCCACAATGCACCCCAAGCCCCTGACGCACGCAGTTCTTGGTTCTAGACCAGCCAAATGTTGATGCTGCTGGCCGAGAGCTGGTTCTTTTGCTGGCGAAGAACTGGTTCGAGATTAAGCACTGGTCTCCGAACCACCAAATATTCCTACGTACTAACTGTAACCTCCATATATGCCATGCGAGAACAGAACGCATGACAGGCGTAACAACAGTAGCTAAGGCTCAGCAAACGGTTGAGTCTTGAAGCATTTGAACGTCAGATAAAGGTACATCCCAGAGCAAGCTATTTGATGTCCCTAAACCAATCAGTAGGGTATCAGCCAGTTTAGCTGTTTGCATGCTAGGGAATGAGAACAGGAAACAGTTGTGATTGAGGAAACCAGTAATCAGCAGTTCAGTCAGCCAACTCACGTTTGGAATGTTTATTAAGCAGTACAGCATATTTAGATTTTGGCGTCTAGGCTC